GCTGTGATCTACTGAGAGTCATCCTTGGACATGGAGTTTGTAATAATAAAAAAATTAAATTGAAATTAAAAAATATAAAAGAAGACAAAAAATAAAGGCTTATGGTCACAGGAAGTTAAAAAAATTAATTTCAAGTTATAATCTTTTCATTATAGAGGAGAAATATTGATAAATGACTTTCAAGTTTAAAATATTACATTAAAGCAAAATTCAGTATTAAAACGCAGACTTTGAGAAGATACAGGAACAGAGAAAAAGTAACACTGAAAAAATTGCATTCCGTTGAAGACCCAATTTTAGTGTTTTCTAAGTAGACGTTGGTGTGAAATTACTATGCTATTTACATTCCATTGGAAACATTTAGCAAGATTATGTAATAGTTTTATTTTAAAAGGTCAGTATTTACCACACACTGAAGCTTACATCATGTGCAACTTTTAAAGTTAGGGTGAAAAATTTGGATAGCAATTCAAAAATATGGTAGAGGGATATACTTTAACAAAATTAGTTTAGAGGTGCAATAAGCAAAAAAAGTTTGAAGAATACAGTTTGATAACTAAAAATAGGATTGCTGGTTCATAAAATATGCTTATCATCATCTTCACAAAATGCCAGATTGCAGAGATACACATATTGGAAAATTGAAATAAATTTTTTTTCTCATGTCCTTGTAATTTTAGAATTATCAGACTTAAGATTTTTTTTTGTAATATGGATGTGTATATTTTACTATGCTTTTAATATGCATTTTACTGATTACTAGTTAGATTGAGGATCTTTTCATATTTATCAGCCATATGGGTTTCTTTTTCTGTAAAATGTCTATTCAAGCTTTTGCTCATACATTTTCTTTTGGGTTGTGTTTTTCTTATCACTTTGAAATAATCACTTTCTTCCAGTTCATGAGTTCTTCTACCTTTTCTATAGGATTATATAATAAAAAGAGAAGTTTCAGTGCATCTTTGCATCTTATTTAAGAAATCTTTACCTACATCAAAATCATAAAAATTATATTTCCTGAGTTTCCCTTTCACATTTTATTCTTTAATTAACCTGGAATTGATTTTTATGCTTGATGTGTATGTATCTAATTTCATTTTCTTCATGTGAATGATTGTTATAGCACCAACTATTGAAAACACCATGCTTTACCCATTTATTCAAAGTGCTAGCTCTGCCATAAATCAACTTTCCGTATATGTATAGGTCTGTGTCTGGGCTCTCTATTGTGTTTCATGGGCTACCTTGTCTCTCTCTGGGTGGCAGGAACTACACTGGCAGTTCATCAAGCCAAGCCAATTTTTTTCTGGGCTCACTATTCTACCACATGGCCCAGATTCTCTTGCAATTAAATGAGGCCATGTGACTATGTGACTGAATTCTACATGGAATGTTGACATAAGCCATGTACACCACTTCCACACCTGGCCCCTAGATTTTCCCATGAGATACTTCACAGTCTCTCTCTCCTCTTGTCTGTGGCACGTGCAGAGGATGCAAGGGAGTATACTGAGTCTTTAATCAATGGCAGAGTCTAGGCAGGAGTCCAGCGCTCTGGAGAGCTGCATGATATTCCTCCCTCCCAGCACATTGCCATGTACTGCTCCCTCCCCATCTGCCGACAACTTGCTTTGGACTTTAAATAATTATTATCACCTCTTTAAACCAATAGATATTTGAGAACTGTGTGTAATAGACATAAGATTTATTTCACATATGTACTTGTATATCCTTCCATTATGCAAATGGAAGGATGTCATTAGTACATCATGAAGCCAGCTCCATGAGGACTGATTATGTCCTTGGTGAAATAGATTCAGGAGATTGAATCCAGTGCTGTAAAATAATATAATCTTTCCATTGGTAAGGGGAAAATAAGACACCCCATTCTCTCAGGAGGCCATCACATACCCCAGCTACAGGGTTATCTCCCATACAGATGGGGGACAGAACACACTTTTTTTGGAAGTCCATGAAAAAGTAATGAGGTCAATTGCACAGGATAGGCACGAAGGTGCCAGGATTGAAACACATGTCATATTCACATCTGGACAGTTTTTTAATCTGAGCATGGCCCTGCTCCAATCAATGGTGAATGTTGTCAAAAATAGTTTCCTCATTTTTTTCTATCTGCAAAGAAACCACATTCATAATTCTTTTTTTCAAATGGAGGGGCAAATGGGCAAAAACACTGTTTTTACACTGTCCTTGAGTGCTGTGGATAATGTGCATTTGGTGGCAGCATGGGGTGGTGGGTCAAGGTCAAACTAAGAGTGTGGCCTCTGGACTCGGTGTAGTTTTACACTGTGAGTCTGCTGCGTAACTTGACGGCTTACGGCAAATTACTTACTTTTTCTGTGTCTAGTCATTTATCGGTAAGATGGAGATGATCATAGTCCCATTTCAGAGGGCTGTCGTGAGCAGTAAATGAGACCGTTTTTGTAAAGCACCTCAAGTAGCACCCAGCACTTAACCAGTCATGTTAAGTGTGGGTTATCTAGTGTGAGAGATCTGAGCTAATGACCATAAATTTGAGGAGACAGCAAGATAGGTGAAAAGATTAAAAACTCAAATTGAGAAATAACAGTGGAATTAGAAAGATATGTTATTCAAATAGAATATACTTAAAAAAATAAACATACACTGATCTGATCTTATAATTTCATATATCTGTGTTTGGTCATTGGAAAAACTATAGAAAAAGCCTTTACACAATGAGTCTTGTGACTCACTGAGATTTTTTTTTTAGAAGGTGATTGCCAAAGGAGATCAAATTATTGTCTTCCTATAAAAAGTACTNTACAGGGTTATCTCCCATACAGATGGGGGACAGAACACACTTTTTTTGGAAGTCCATGAAAGAGTAATGAGGTCAATTGCACAGGATAGGCACAAAGATGCCAGGATTGAAACACATGTCATATTCACATCTGGACAGTTTTTTAATCTGAGCGTGGCCCTGCTCCAATCAATGGTGAATGTTGTTAAAAATAGTTTCCTCATTTTTTTCTATCTGCAAAGAAACCACATTCATAATTCTTTTTTTCAAATGGAGGGGCAAATGGGCAAAAACACTGTTTTTACACTGTCCTTGAGTGCTGTGGATAATGTGCATTTGGTGGCAGCATGGGGTGGTGGGTCAAGGTCAAACTAAGAGTGTGGCCTCTGGACTCGGTGTAGTTTTACACTGTGAGTCTGCTGCGTAACTTGACGGCTTACGGCAAATTACTTACTTTTTCTGTGTCTAGTCATTTATCGGTAAGATGGAGATGATCATAGTCCCATTTCAGAGGGCTGTCGTGAGCAGTAAATGAGACCGTTTTTGTAAAGCACCTCAAGTAGCACCCAGCACTTAACCAGTCATGTTAAGTGTGGGTTATCTAGTGTGAGAGATCTGAGCTAATGACCATAAATTTGAGGAGACAGCAAGATAGGTGAAAAGATTAAAAACTCAAATTGAGAAATAACAGTGGAATTAGAAAGATATGTTATTCAAATAGAATATACTTAAAAAAATAAACATACACTGATCTGATCTTATAATTTCATATATCTGTGTTTGGTCATTGGAAAAACTATAGAAAAAGCCTTTACACAATGAGTCTTGTGACTCACTGAGATTTTTTTTTTAGAAGGTGATTGCCAAAGGAGATCAAATTATTGTCTTCCTATAAAAAGTACTACTGTAATTGAAAAATTATAAAGCAAACCACTCTTTCTTGATACATAAGCACATGCAACAAATATGATTGGAAAATTATAATTAAAGGTATGAATTGGCTTTGTCAAAAAATGAATAATTGTTTTATCATTTCCCCCCAAATTCTGTCAAATATATTTTAGGGTGATCATTGCATAACCTCTAAAAAGAAAAAAAGGACAAGAGAATTAAAAATATATGATGCTTTATTGTCAAAAATAGACAAACTTTAATTTCCTTTAACAGGAATATTAATTTAAGAGCTTCCATAAACCATCACCATTTTGTAATCATAAGAGGCAAGAGGGTCCAAGACAACTGTTAGTAGAAAAAGGACAACAGTTCTGTATCCATGCCTGAGAAGCCTCGCCCACAGTCCATGATGGCGACTCTAAAACAACTAAAGACACAGTGACATTTACAGCCCAGAATAAAAGACATGCAAAACAACATTGTTTATCTTGGTCTAGTCCTACAAAGATTGGCTTTGTGGTATTTTTCCAAGCATTTGAAGAGTTAAATTTGTTAGAACACTTGCTAATTTGAACAGGACATGTTAGGTCACTTCTAGGATTGGTAACAGGATCACACTTGTTTTTAAGTAACAAACACCAGGATGAAGACATCTGTCCCTACAACCCCGGCCTTGGGTATGAGAAGCGGTGCTAATAACTTGAGCAGCAGACCTGAATAGGGTCCTTGTCATGACCCACAGCGAGGATGTGAAGGCCTTGCTGAAATGAACAGTCACATGGAGGCTAAACTCTCTCATTAACATAAAAAAGGAAACAGATAATGATCTAGTTTGTTGAAATGAGACAAAAAATAAGGCCTTTATTGCAGGTATCCAAGTTGGAAGAAAGCTGGGAGTGTATACTGGTTACCTGGATGTGATTTTCATTCTCTAGTCTGTGCTATAAACCAGATCTCCATAGCCAAAACAGACTTCATAAATATATTCATCTTCATAATTAAAATGGTAGCACGCAGCTATCTCCCTTGAAGACTGGGGTTATTGAGACATACTTCAATTCCCAGAAGACGCCAGAGATGAGATAACACTGACATGGTGAGCTGGCTCGTTTGGGATTAAGCATATGAATACTGAAAAGAAGCTAGATTACAAAATGAATCAGTAAGGGACTGGATTTGAGAACTCATTTCTTATCCTCATAGGCATTCATCATTCACTCAATGCAAGAGTAATCAACTATGCACACACACACAATCAGTTCAACATTTTCCATTTTTCTAGTTTAAAGACGATATTTAATACTCGAGGCCTAGGAAAACTGAGCTTATGCTGTACCACAAAGTCATTTAAAACAGTACTGTGGTTACTAAAATGGCAGCTCAAGCTTTTGTCACCTCCTGGAAACGAGAGTGAGGAGGACACAAGGAAAAACTGAAGTTCTGTTGTCACTGTGACATTTCCTATTCACTCTTACTTATCTAGGATTAAATTTTAGCTAAGCTCACCCACTTAATTCTACCCTCCTGTCTAAGAATCCTTTAAATTTGAGTAGAAAATTGGCAGGAAATTGGTGGTGTTGGCATCTGGAAGTTTCGATGGGCTAAGTAAGCATCATTTAGTAAGATTCTGTGATTGAAAGGATCACATTGAGAACTTACAGAAAAAAAGCCATATGAAAATCAAACTAGGCAAATCTCATTTATATAGTCTATTAGCAATACTACCTGGAAAAAGTTGTGAAATCAAATATAAAACTGAAGTGGATGGCTTCTTTTCCTTCCTTATTCCATTCGATTCTGTAAAGGATGTGATACATGCAGAAGATGTACACTTTCTTGGGTCATTTCTCAAAAGCCACAAAATCAGCCCTTTAGCTGGGGTTGCTGTGGGTGTGGACATAGAAGGAAGATGGACTAAATTGGGGGTTTCTCATTCAGGGCAGGCAGAGCAAACTACAAATGACTTTAACTGAGTAGCTGCATAGGTACCTAATCACATGAGAATCCTTTCCAAGTTTTCCTTTCTAGCACTCTTCGATGACTGTTGTTCCAATCAGCGAGTAAAGCTTTTTCTTAACAAGTCGAAATCCTGAGCTGAGGATCAGAGTTCGCCTGAGGCCAGATGAGAAGCGACCTCTACTAAAGAAAAAATCCCTGAAGCTAGTCCACGAGCAGTTCTCCTGCTTAAACACAAGTGTAAGCTCAAAAGTAGGCACCACACTAGAATCACACACAATTCTATCCAGCTTTTTACATACATTTTCAATTTCCATGTTCACGTGCATAACACAGCCTCGCAGGCCGCAGGGCTCAGTGGAGGAGAGTCGCAGGACATCTTGAGCAATTCTCTGGGTCAGTTTCTCAGGGACAAGGACCTTTGAGCAACCGAGTTTGGTTTGCTTTGATTTGGACAGACAGTTCTCCAGCATTTTAACCAAATTTTGGCAAGTTGTCTCCTCAAATATCACCTCGTTGAAGTTGGGTTCAGGAACAACATAATCCCAGTAGTCAAAGTCTGCAGGAAGTGAAAATATTAGATAAAGAAGAAGAAAAAGAAATCACGGAGTAGGAAAAACATACCAAGATAGCAACGATGGTTAGTGCTATCTACTATATCCACCTGTTTCTAATATTTGTTTGAAGACCTCACTTGGTTGTTAACTAGCTAGGTAATACAGCAAGTCACTTAACCTCTCAAGCATGAAAGTTCATCTATGAAATAAGTTTTGATGAATAGGGTGGATAGGATATAACCCTTTTTCTTTAGATTTATATGTACACACACACACACACACACACACAGTCTTAAAGACTGTGCATCAAAAGTGTATTTGTGGTTATTCCAGTTTACTAGTGATTTTCTTTCTTGATTGCTTGCTTACTTGCTCATGGGGTTTTCTAATTTAGTTTTACAGAGGGCAGACATTACTTCTGGTTACACTTTTTTTTTTTTTTTTGGATTAAGGGATTGTTGCTTTCTCACTGAAGGAATACATATATGGTAAAACGGAATTTTTACTAATGTTCTTAAGTGAGGCCATCATCAAATTTGTGTCTTTCTTTAAAAGTCTTTGCTGGAATGGCCCACAGATCTCAATTTTAGCTTCAACCTATTTGATTAAAGATAGCTTAGAGAAGAGCTTTGAGGTTCACTAGGATTTTATAACTGGTTGCATAGTTTTTCTTAGCCAAGCAAAACAAAATAGTCCTAGGGAAACAAAATTAGATTTGCTCAAAGGAAAAGAGATAGCTCTGCATTTTGTCACCTACCTCCCAAATTAATCCTACCACTTGGCAGGATGCCACACCACACACAGTCAACGCAGCAGGGTGCAGGAAGATGCCCTGCCGGCGCCCCTCCCTAAACCTACTTCACCTTCATTGGCTACTGCGCTTTCCTCTCTCCACTTCATGTATTCACTTAGATCATTGTGTTTTTTTTTTTTACAACTGTTTCTCATTCAGGGCAGGCAGAGCAAAC